GGTTACCAACCAATCATCATCGTCCATAAAATACAGCAGTTATTGCATACTTCGTATGCAATAACTATATAATATCGATATTAATTTGGTAGTGATACGTGATGTGTGATCGAAATTGACGATATCGATATATTCAATTTAATTAATTTGGTAGTGATACGTGATATTGAATTTAATCTACTGTATATCGATATATCAGTAAAATTACTATCTAAGCCCAAGGGTACCCTCGGGTACCCGTAGGGCACTATGGGCCGGGTAGGGTAGCATATTTTGAACCCTAGGGCAAGGGTAAGGACTCGGAAGGCGAGCCCTTACATAAATGGGTAGGGCTAGGGTATTAGTGCTACCCTAGCCCTACCCGGCCCATGCGGAGGCCTATCAACATTATGATATACCCGAACTAGCTCGAAACAAAAAATTCATTAAATCTAGTCACGATAATTGGTTTGATTTTTTATTAGTTGTCCCATAATATAATCACATCTGGCCTAAATAATCTGCTTTTGTCTGACGCTAATACATGATTTCTTGGTAACACAACTTGATTGGCTGGTAGTTCAACGTACGTACGTACATACGTACGCACAATATATAAAGAGATTATTATATCAAATTTTGGGACCTTCTTACAAAAGGTTATATTTGAAAAGTCTAAAATATTATACTTAAAATGGATAAAAGCCTTTAATATTATATATATTATAATAAAAGTGAATAAAATTGATAGATTTGTGATTATATTTAAAATTTGGATAGCAGGATAAAAAGTTCAGAACAAGAAACAGAGAGAGAGAGCATATGTTTTTAATTGAATAAAAATATATAAATTTTAAAGCTTATATTTAAAATTAAGGCTAATAGCTAATATAAGTGGATAAAATTGTTCAGATCTTTATGTACGTACGAACGTACTTAACCTCTTAATTTCACGAAACACCGCATATATTGAAACCAAGGCAAGGCAATGTATTCAAAAGTTACGACATGTGCTAGTATAGTGTTCTTATGCTGGCTTATTTTTTCAGTATTAGTGGTGAATGCGCACGAGGATAGTGAACAAACTCAGGTAATTCTTTATTTTTCAATGAACTTTTTAAAATTTACCTGTAACTGAAAATTTTTAAGATTTCAGAGTCCACACCAAATTGTTTCTTACCGGACTGTATGAATAAATATCAAAGTTATTTACATTTAAAAAGAATAAAATGGGATACTATTAAAAGAAATAAAACAATTAACGCACTTGAAAAAAAAGTAAAAATAGACTTGATAAATAATGAACTTTTGCAAGCGGAAGCGTTCAAAAATTTGACTTTTGGATTAATTAATATCTTTGACAAACTAATTGATGATAATTATTCAACTGAGGTGTTAAATTCTTCTTATAGAGCAGAAACTTTGCGGCTTCTATTAAAATTTTATTATAATGCTCTGAAAACTAATGGCACGGATTTTCTGCAGCAAGTGTGGAATCAATATGTAAATAAAAATGATCATGCACACAACGTGACAATGGATGATAATGGTCTTCACCACGAAAATATGGCTTCTGATCTAGTTAATAACTTTCTGCAAGAAATAGGCAACGAAGCTGATCGTTTGGAGGAGAATATGCACAATCACAAGTTCACAGATGGTTCTAAGATGCAAGGATCTCTTGACATGGTTGTCAAATTAGAAGATGAAGATGAAGATGGAAAAAAATATAGTCTTGAACTGTCTCAAAGTGAAGAATCACGCCGTCACCATTCCAACAAAGTAATGATGTTGGTTGATCGTGATAATAATGAATACGTTCTTATGCGCCCAAATGATTTATCAATGTTCTATGAAGGTGTGATTTAAATTATTTTCTTTATTACCTGTTATATACTATATTATTTATTTTATTAACCATATTTATCTAGATGGGAGACTTGTGCACGACTTAATTTTCATTATTGTCGTAGCCTTTTTTATTGGTTGGATATTTAATAGCCTTGGGTTGCCAGGTAAAATAAAGACGTTAGCAGTAATATTTACAATACACTGAAATACACTGAAATGCACTGAAGTAGGCTGAAATAAACTGACTGTTTTTGATTTAAAATTATAATATAGCATTTTTAGGTTATATAGTCGCTGGTTGTGTTCTCGGCCCTGCTGGGTTAAATATGACTCAGGTGCTTGATTTAAATAATTTACTAACTTAATATTTACATAATATTGCATTTTTTCATTCAACTATTATCATTTTGATTATAGGAGCTTATTCAAACCGAAACACTTTCACAATTTGGCGTTATTTTTATCGTATTCATGTTAGGATTGGAATTTTCGTTAGATAAGCTTAAGTCAATATGGCAATTTGCTCTAGGTAGTGTTGCTATGATTTTCACCTTAATCCTTAGTATATCGGGTTTTATAGGATTGATTATAGGTGCTAAGACAAATGAGGCGATTTTTGTGGGTGCATGCGTGTCACTTTCAAGTACAGCTATTGTGAAAAGATTAAATTGTACAGAACTTGAATCATTACACGGTTTACTTATAGTGCAAGATATTTTATTTGGGGTATTGCTGGTAAGTAGTTAATATCATTATTGGATAAATCATAACATACATAAAAAATAACTAATTATAATTCAATATATATACAGGCTACACTACCCACTTTTTCCAAAACTGATCTTGAAGTTATGATGATAGCAGGACATTTGCTATTGTCAATGGTATTATTTTGCATATTTAGCCTTATAGTTGCAAATTTACCTATTTCCTGGATTTTGAAAACTATTAAAGGGACCAATAAACATGAATTGTTTCTCCTTGGATCCATATCTTTATGTCTGATAATGTCACATGTTTCATTTATGCTTGGATTAGGTGTTGAAATTGGATGTTTTATAGCTGGCATATTGATTGGTAACCACAAATCTATAGTTGAATCTTCTATCACCCTTGTAGAACCCGTCAAAGACATATTTTCATGTCTTTTTTATTCAAGCATTGGGCTTCACGTATATCCAAGCTTCTTTATCAATGAAGGAACATTGTTATTTTTTCTAACGATTTGTGCAATAGGATTTAAGTTCGTTGCTTGTAGTGTAACTTTAATAGTATTTAGACACACTTTTGAGCGCGCTGCCACAATGGCTATTGGGCTGTCTCAAATAAGCGAATACGTTTTTATCCTTGCCAGCCGTGCAAAAAGTCTTGAAATTATATCAAGAGAGGTATATTATGTAATCTTAGCGATAACTTCTCTAACTTTAATAGTTACGCCTATATTGTGGAATATAATCTTTAGAGGAAAAAAAGATAATCCAATAGGAGGATATCGATTGTTAGCCAATGACGCAGACTTCATATCACTACCAATAAATAATGTAGAAAAAATGGAATAATTATTTTTAGGAAATTATACTGGTGTTGGTGATTCTCTTGGATGGGTTATAAATTTTAAACTATTATATCAGTTCATTTTATGAATAATTATTACATTGGGCTTACCTTCCTCTTCTATTTAACATTAATAGATAAATTTTTATAGATCTCATCAGATTAATATTTCTTTAATTTACTTAAGGCAGGGCAATTATTTAATTGTAGATTAATCGAAAATTGAATTATTAGATATTGATGAACAATATCACGAATTTTATCTCATTTGCATTTAATACAGTGTATTTTTTTCTTGGTTAAGAGTGGTTTCTTATAAGCTAAATTTTATAAGTAGGTTACACAACATACAGGTGGCACCTATTCTGCCAAAATTTCATGAGAGCTGTACAAACTTACCCAATGTGTTCAAAAGTTTTAAGAATATGCAAATTATTTTATTATTCTATTCTTTCGAATACAACATATATACTGGTTAAAAATAGTATTACTTTTAATAATAATAATGTAATGTTAAAACGTTCACTATATAAAATACAGAAAATTTTATCATCGCATCATCCAATATCGAGTTAAATGTGAGATTGTTGTGCTTACGTAATAACGTACAAAAATAAGAAAAAAATCTATGATTAACGATAACTAAAGCTTTTGTCTTTTTATTTTTTTAAAAAATATATTTCAGTTTAAAAATTCAATAGAACAATATCATAATAACATTTCTAAGCTCTTAAAAAACCAATAATCACTACTTGTATAATAAGTATAATGCTATTATATACTATAATAAGGATGTAACGTAACCGGGAGGTGAAGTATTATTACCTTACAAAGACATGCTTGATCTTTTAGTTTTATTTATAGTTGTCTTATTATAGCTGAAAAGGAAAACTTTCAAAACAATAAACGTGTCAACAAAAAAAGGATATACTGGATATTCTTTTTTCCGTTGATAGACCATCAGTTCATTTCATACTTTCTGCGCTTTTCGCTTTCATACAAAAGATGGTGTTCCTGGTGTATTAAAAACTCATCAACACTTTTGAAATCTATTTCGTACACGATTAACCTCGCGTATAACGATTATTATGCTTTTTTAATGCATTAACATAAACCTCTTCTAGCATCTAGGCTACACAAACGATAAACAGTTGTGGGATATTTGTGAATGTTGTAAGTTTCTCTGCAACTGAGTGTTAGCATGCCATATCTGAGATATTTGGGTCACCTCAATCACATATCTATTTTTTTTTTCTTTTACTGTCTTTCAGGAAAATTAATGAGCAAACTCAACTCTCGCATTAACCACATAATCGAGTATCTGTTACATGCTTGTTGAAATAAACCATCTTTATTGAGGTGGCGCTAAATTAAGGAAAGATAATTGGGCACAGATCTTTCATACAGAAAGATATGGAAATAGGTTCCACATTGAGGCTGGCCGAGTACGTAGGTTATCATTTTGACTAATAAAAGATTATTAATTTCGAAGGAAGGAATTCATTTGATTGGCTGATGTAAATCAATTGCTTAGCACATTTTACCAATAAAAAATCGTCGTAAAAGACCATTCGTAGCTTTATAATAGAGTCAATATTCACTGTGCAAAAGAATTTAAAAAAAGATTTTACTCCTAACGAACTTTGCTTAGAAGACGAAGTATATCTATCATTTATTGGACAATCTCAAATTATACTGAAATAAAGGTAAACGGGAACGTTTTTCTTCAAGATTGCCTATTATGTTAGATTTAAAAAACTTTATAACTAACTGCTGACTTTAAATAAGAGGTTACTGTAAAAGAAGATCCAAGTTTAATATTTGAATATGTTTGATTTTTTCGTTGTGTTTGGGTCTGAAAAATTGGACAATCAGACGTATTTCTTCCTTTGAATTATTAATCTAGGAAAGACAATTATTGGAAGAGATGTTGATCCTTCATTATTTTTTAACGCGAATGTCTTACAAAAAACAATAAAATGCGACGAATAATCAAAAGCATGGAGTTTTTTCTCTTTCCATATACGAGACATTGACAATAATTTCCCAATAATTAGGCTCCAAATGTCAAAAATATAAATAACAACATTCCTATTTCACAAACTTCAACATGTTGCTTACGATATAACTTTAGAATTCTGAGGATGATTATAATAATGTAGTAGCTATTGCTTTTCTTAGGGATGTTATGTGATCTTAAATATTCTTGGGCTTTTCTCATCCTCTTAACGAGGACATGTATCAGTAGGGTGGGTGATATATGAATCTACCGAATCCCGACAAAGTTAGCAGAGTGGTATAATGGTGGCCGATTTTTTCAGGGGTTTGACCATGTCGGATTTCAGGGTAGATCCGCGATATACATACAGTACTATGTAAATCAAAGTATAGCGATGGCATAAATTAAAATTTTATATAGATCTCAATTTTTATTTATTTGCTATAATTCTAAAATGGATATACAGCCTTAACGGTTCGATAGTTTTTGTAAAGATCATATGGGATCTTTGCTAGGAAAATCACCCTTCGGGATTTTCCGATCGGGCTAATTCGGAAAAGCTTAGACCAGAAT